TTGGCATTGCGTTTCAGAACGATGTGTGTTAAGTTTCGTGAAAATCGCTTCAGATTTAGATATAGCTCCCATATATATTTTCGTCCGATTTAATGTAAATGAGAAAAACCAGTATAAGGGATCTAAAGTCCAGAGTCCATTGAATTCTTACAATTTTCTTCGCCACAGTGTATTCTGAATGGGAATGTGTTGCATTTACTGTTACGATATGAATTTTCTGTTACTATAAGAAGAGACGAACATCAAATGCTTGATGTCAATATTATGATATGCGTCATAATTTCCAAAAATAAAAAGAAAAACACCCAACACACAATGGAATGAAATAAATAATCAAAACTGACACCCGCCTACAGTAAAACAAACAAACAAAAAAATTGCATTTAAAGTAAAGAATTTGTTTAGAAAATCGCGCAAAGCAGAAGATTCCTCCTTCATTCATGAAAAATCTCTTTGAAAAAAATAAAATAAAATTTTCAAAATTCTCTGGCTCTCATTTGGTTGTTTACTGTTCGTTTTTCAAAAAAAGCAAAGAAAAGCCATCTCTTCGATCGTCTTTTGTGCCATGAATAAAGATTTTCCCATTTGGTGGCTCTTTATATTTTCATATGTTGCGTAGTAGTAGCGTATTGTATACGGCCGATAACGAACAACCAAATATCGAAACACGCTTGTCATTAAGAACAAATATAAAAACGAATATCACTGAATTTTTTTCTTGAATTTGATTTCTATAAATAACTGAGACTCAATTAAAAAAACGATACAAAATTGCTTGGTTAATTGCGATAATTATTACATTGATATCCCTATATTATTTTAAGGATTATCTATTAACTACGGTGGTAACAACATCCGCAGCGGCAAATACTAGCAATAATAACAATACAACAACCTCAATATTGCAACAGCAACAACAAAACACTGGAGCGGCAAGTAGTGATATAGGTAAGTAAGAAGAACCTTTTTATTTTTTATATAATAATTATTTTCTTTTTTAATTTTATTTTATTTAATTTGAAATAGAAAAGAAAAAACTTTCCTTTAAGTAATGCTACCACACACCACCTCTGAATGTGTTTCACCATTAGCTTTTTAATATGATGTAGTGTTCAGTACGTACCTTTAGCTACACGATTTGTATTTTGTAGGATTCTATATTTAGATATGTGATGTATGTCTGTATGTGTGTGTGTGTTTGTTTCTTACTCTGTGTATGTTTATACTATTGCTGCATAGAACAAGATTTTCTTTTTATATACTACTAACTTCTTGTATATTCTTCTATTCAATAATATATTTAAATTAAGGAAAATTCTTAGTCATCACGATTTTTTTTTGATTTATTTTCAAAATATAAAAAGAAAAAAACAAAAAAAGATTTTTTTTGTCTCGTAGACTTTAGTTCACTTTCTATTAGAAATTAAAATTGAATTAACATACATAAAATCGGACGAAAATATATATGGGAGCTATATCTAAATCTGAACGGATTTCCACGAAACTTAGCACACATCATTCTGAACCTAATTCAGTACACTATGCCAAATTTCGTGCAAATCGACTTTTTTGGACAATTTGCTCGGACGAAAATATATATTGGAGCTATGTCTAAATCTAAACCGATTTTCACGAAACTCAACGAACATCATTATAGACTTAATTCAGTACAGTATGCAAAATTTCGTGCAAATCGAATGACTTTTTTGCACAATTTGCCTTAAATCGGACGAAAACATATATGGGAGCTATATCCAAATCTGAACCGATTTTCACGAAACTAAGCACACATCATTCAGAACCTAATTCAATACGCCATGCCAAATCGAAAGATATATAGGGACTTTGGTGCCCCATTTACCTTCAATCCGACAAAACTATATATGTTAACTATATCTTATTCTGAATCGATTTTCACGAAACTAGACACACGTTATTCTAGACTCAATTCAGTACCCTATGCTAAATTTCATGCAAATCGAAAGATATATAGGGACTTTGGTACCCCATTTACCTTACATCGGACGAAAATATATATGGGAGCTATATCTTAATCTGAACCGATTTTCACGAAACTTAGCACACATCGTTTTGGGCCTAATTCAGTACGCCATGCCAAATTTCGTGCAAATCGAAAGACATATAGGACCATTGGTGCACCATTTACCTTAAATCGGACGAAAATATGTATGGGAGCTAAATCTAAATCTGAACCGATTTTCTTCAATTTCAATAGGGTTTGTCCTTCGGCCAAATAAGTGGCTTGTGTCCGATTTCATCCTAATCGGATCATAAATGCGACATGTACTTTGTTTACAATTTAACATATACAGACGGACGGACAGACGGACATGCATAAATCGACTTAGAAAGTGATTCTATGCATATTTTGCATCTTCATTAGATAGTAAATTTCTCTACCAAAAAACAAAAAGAATTCCTTCAGCTTCAGCTCGTCGTTGAAGTCACTTTCAGCCCTTTTCTAAAAAAAACTCCCTCGAGCTCTTCTAAAAAGTCTACCTTCAGCTCCTCTAAAAAGACTACCTTCAGACTCGTCTATAAAGACTCCCTTATGTGCGTGAAAATAAATTCAAATTTGAAAAGCGAAGACACCCACCAGTATGTGTGGTTGTGTCCAGTATGACAGTTTTGTTATACAATATAACAGAGTGTAAGTGACTGTAAATTTGAATTTAGAACAAATAAATTCAATGACCTTTATAAAGAGGAAACAATTATTTGGCAAAATATTAATTAATTTAAATGTGACTGTAAATTCGAATTTATAACAAATTAATTTAATAAACTATATAAAGAGAAAACATTTATTTGTTAAAATTTAAACTAATTTAAACATTTACTTCACAGGTAAATTCTTGGTGGTGGAGTTATTGTCGCAAGAACACTATTTTTAATCCATATGCACGCATCATCATTGGGCTTCTTTATAATATATTAATTTGTAATTTTATATAATGTTTGCTATGTTTTTATGTAATTTTGTATAATTTTATTTAAAATATTATTATTTTATTTTACTGTAATGTAAATATGTTTTGTGTTGTTAATGCGTTTTATTACTTGTATGTTTTCTATTTTTTTTAAATATGTGGAAATTATTTATGTTTTTATATAAGTACAAAAATGTGTATGTATATTTATATATTGCTTGTATGTTTATGTATTATAGTGACTTTCATTGTCTATGTTACGCTTTCATTGCATATCACTATTTAAACTTTAGTAATTTAGAATATAAGAAAAGCCTATGTAAAATTCGTTTCGGTCCACTGTGCAAAAATTCGACCTAATGCACCCCTAGACTATGTACCATTGGATCGGCCATGGAAAGAGCTTCTAGACCCAGTTTTTATTTTGTTTCCAAATATGTTAGAATTTTAGTTATTTCCAACATAAGAAAACCCCTATGAAATTCGTTTCAGCCCACTGTGCGAAAATTTGACCTAATGCACCCCTAGACTATGTACCATTGGATAGGCCATTGAAAGAGCTTCTGGACCATATGGATTAAAAATAGTGTTCTTGCGACAATAACTCCACCACCAAGAATTTACCTGTGAAGTAAATGTTTAAATTAGTTTAAATTTTAACAAATAAATGTTTTCTCTTTATATAGTTTATTAAATTAATTTGTTATAAATTCGAATTTACAGTCACATTTAAATTAATTAATATTTTGCCAAATAATTGTTTCCTCTTTATAAAGGTCATTGAATTTATTTGTTCTAAATTCAAATTTACAGTCACTTACACTCTGTTATATTGTATAACAAAACTGTCATACTGGACACAACCACACATACTGGTGGGTGTCTTCGCTTTTCAAATTTGAATTTATTTTCACGCACATGACTCCCTTTAGCTCGTCTATAAAGACTCCCTTCTGCTCGTCTATAAAGACTCCCTTCAGCTCGTCTATAAACACTCCCTTCAGCTCATGTATAAAGACTCCCTTCAGATCGCCTATAAGGACTCCCTTCAGCTCTTCTAAAGGACCCCGGCAGCTCATCTATAAAGACTCTTTTCCGATCTTCTTGAAAGACTTTCCTCAGCTCGTCTATAAAGACTTCCTTCAGTTCGCCTATAAAGACTCCCTTCAGTTCGCCTATAAAGACCTCCCTTCAGTTCGTCTATAAAGACCTCCCTTCAGCTCGCCTTTAAAGACACCCCTAAACTCATCTACTTTCCTTTACTGAATATTGATTTTTTTCACTTGTTTATTGTTTTCTATAAAAAAAAAACTCAAATATTTATTCAAAAGTTACGTTCGCACACCTACTTCCGAACTTTTTGTCATAAATCGAATCAAAACTAATAAATTCGGTTTGTTTTTTTTTTACTTCCCCACAGAAAGTTCCCAGGAAAATCAACAACGATTTTGTTATCCCGTACGACCGATACCACGACGTAATCAACCACCACAACAGTTGCAGAATCAACAACAGCAACAATTGCAAAACGATTTTCTTAGTACAGCGGCAGCTAACGTTGGTAACACGAATTTGAATACCACGATTGGTGTTGTTATACCCCACACACCCGGTGTACCAGCGGCAACACAGCAAAGCAATAACACCACATCAGCGACAGCTACAGCGGCACCAGCCATTACCACAGTACAGCCGATACAACCCACTACGAATATTGCCCAGAATATTACCCAGACGATTAATGATAATCAAGCGGTATTGGGTGCCCAGTTTGAACAACAAATTCAATTGATTGTCCTGCAACGTTTACGGCAGCTATTTGAAAATTCACAGACAAGTCCATTTTTGAATTTAACCACCAGTCTGTTGCCCGGTATACAGGCGGCATCATCGGCCTCATTGGCAAACACAATTCTCAATCATAACACCAACGAGATTACGCAGTTGGCTCAACGTTTTCAAAATTTGAATAACAATCCTCAGCAGCAGCAGCAGGCGAATTCATTACCTCCCACAGGGCACGCCACAAAACGTTTAAAACCCAAAACTACCAGTATGGTTCACGAAATCAATCCTAGCTCTAGTGGTGCTACAAATGAGGTTGTGGTCAATTCCACCAGTCTGGAAGATGTACCGGCCAGTAATATGAGTGATCGAGCTCAATCCATACAATCACTGCATAGCAACATAGAGACTCCCACACCGGACACCACACCTTCTTATGAGGAATTACAGGCTCGGTTGGAGGCCTCGAATCGCAATATACAAAATATGCAGGAGCAACAACAACAACTGTTGAAGCTACAAAATGCCGCCAAGCAACATTTAAGCGACATGGAAAAGTTAAGGCAACAAGCTGGCACTTTAAGTTTTGCTGCCGGTGCTACAACGGATGGTGGTACTTTACCCGACTACGAATCGGTGGGACAGGTACAAAGTGATGTGGCCAATTTAGTGGGACGCATGAAAAACCTAACCTCATTCATACAAAATCAAAATGATCTCTCCAGTATGCTGGGCGATGATTGTCCGGAAATTTTGGCCGAACAACAGGTTCTCCAAAGAAAACTGGAAGCTTTGCGAGCTCAACGAGATGAAATGCGTAATTTGGTATCGGAACTGCAAAGTGTCAATCGTTCGGCGGAGGAAAGTGCCAAGGAGGCAAGGCAGCGACAATTCGAACAGGAAAAAGATATTGAGGAGAATGAAAATGAACAGGAACCAGCCGCAGCAGCTGCTGCCGCGGTAATAACTCAAGCCAAAAAACCCTCCGCCGAGGTTGAACGTGAGGTGCCTGTGGAATTTACCCGCAATGTACCCATCGAACTACTGCAACACGCTCAACGTCCACAAATGAATGGCAACAACGAACAATCGGAGAACGACGAAGAAACCGACATGGATGAAGATGAGCGCAAGGAAACGGCTCATCTCATTCAACAAAAGGTAGCCGATATCGAGGCAATGAAGGCTCAACTTAAACGTCTCAAGGACATGATGGAAACGGTCAGTCTCATTGAGGCCCACACGAGCAAACATGAAAGTCGTACCCCCACCCGGGAAGTACCCATTGTCTATGATCGGGAACGTACTCCCATTGCAGTGCCCCCTGCTGCTTCTCGGTTTAATGACGCCAATGGCAACGAAGAGGTGCTCGCCCGCAAAGTTCGTATGCTCAATGAGGTGACCTCGGATTTGCGGGCCCAGGCTCAATCATTGCAGGCCGAAAAGGATCGTATACATTTGCTCAAGGAAGAAATCGAAAGGCGTAAACAACAAGCCGCAGCTGCTGTACAGATGGGTGATGATGCCCTTAAACGAAACAGCCTAACACCCACTCCAGCACAGCAACAGGCCGCCCGTAGCCATGAAGAACGGTGGGAGGAACATTTGCGCACCCAACATGAACGTGATGCTCTCAAAGAGGAATATGAACGTAAGAAAAAAGAATTTGAAGTTATTTGTAAACGTTTGGAACAGGAGGAAACACCCTCACAGCAGCAGCAAACGGAGAACACCACCACCATACGCCATGAAATTGTTTCCGAAGCTGATGATGAAGCCGAAGAAGATAATCTTGAATCGGATTATGCTGAGAGTGCCAAGTTTGTACCAACCTCCACCCCAGCCACCTCAAGAAATAATGAAAATAATTCTCAACAACGCACCGGTAAGGATTCTCTCAACTCCACCGGAGTCTCGTCGAATGCTGGTACACATATCGCTCAGGCAGCTAGTTCATCGGCTCACGATGGTGCCTCATTGGAGGGTGCCAGTATGCAATCGGGTAGTTCACGATCTTTTTCGATACCGCCACCAATGTCAGCAATGGGCATTAATTTTCGTAAGTAAAGAAAAAAATTTAAGGGTATTTGAGAAAAAATCTCCTGCGCTTTAAAGACTCTCTTTAGCTAGTCTATCCTCCTTTTAGATTGTCTACAAAGACTATCTACAGTTTTCCTATAAAGACTGTCTTCATAGACTCCTTACAGCTCGCCTATAAAAACTCCACCAGCTGGTCTATGAAGACCACTTTCTGCTGTCTATAAAGACCACCTTCATCTGGTCTACAAATACCACATTTAGCTCATCTAGGAAGACAACCTTCAGCAGGTCTAGGAAGACCACCTTCAGCTGGTATATAAAGACCACCTTCAGCTGGTCTATAAAGACCACCTTCAGCTGGTCTATAAAGACCACCTTCAGCTGGTCTATAAAGACCACCTTCAGCTGGTCTATAAAGACCACCTTCAGCTGGTCTATAAAGACCACCTTCTGTTGGTCTATAAAGACCACCTTCAGCTGGTCTATAAAGACCACCTTCAGCTGGTCTATAAAGACCACCTTCAGCTGGTCTATAAAGACTCCCTCCAACTCGTCTAAAAAGACTCTATCCAACTCGTCTAGAAATACTCCCTCCAACTCGTCTAAAAATACTCCATCCAACTCGTCTATAAAGTCTCCCTTCAGCTCGTATATAGAGACTCCTTCAGCTCGTCTAAAAATACTCCCTCCAGCTCGTCTAAAAATACTCCCTCCAACTCGTCTAAAAATACTCTCTTCAGCTCGTCTAAAAATACTCTCTTCAGCTCGTCTATAAAGACTCCCTTCAGCTCGTCTATAAAGACTTCCTTCAGCTCGTCTATAAAGACTCCTTTCAGCTCGCCTATAAAGAATATCCAACTCCTCTAAAAATACTCCCTCCATCTCGGCTATAAAGACCAATTCCAGCTAGTCTATAAAGACCACCTTAAGCGCGTCTATAAAGACCACTTCCAGCTAGTCTATAAAGACCACCTTAAGCGCGTCTATAAAGATTCCCTCCAACTCATCTATAATCGTCTAAAAATACTTCCTCCAACTCGTCTTTAAAGACTCCCTTCAGCTCGTCTATAAATACTCCCTTCAGCTCGTCTATAAAGACTCCCTTCAGCTCGTCTATAAAGACTCCCTTCAGCTCGTCTATAAAGACTCCCTTCAGCTCGTCTATAAAGACTCCCTTCAGCTCGTCTATAAAGACTCCCTTCAGCTCGTCTATAAAGACTCCCTTCAGCTCGTCTATAAAGACTCCCTTCAGCTCGTCTATAAAGACTCCCTTCAGCTCGTCTATAAAGACTCCCTTCAGCTCGTCTATAAAGACTCCCTTCAGCTCGTCTATAAAGACCACCTCCAGCTCGTCTATAAAGACTCCCTTCAGCTCGTCTATAAAGACTCCCTTCAGCTCGTCTATAAAGACTCCCTTCAGCTCGTCTATAAAGACTCCCTTCACCTCGTCTATAAAGACTCCCTTCAGCTCGTCTATAAAGACTCCCTTCAGCTCGTCTATAAAGACTCCCTTCAGCTCGTCTATAAAGACTCCCTTCAGCTCGTCTATAAAGACTCCCTTCAGCTCGTCTATAAAGACTCCCTTCAGCTCGTCTATAAAGACTCCCTTCAGCTCGTCTATAAAGACTCCCTCCAACTCGTCTAAAAAGACTACCTCAAACTCGTCAGAAAATATTCCCTCCAACTCGTCTATAAAGACTCCCTCCAACTCGTTGATAAAGTCTCCCTTCAGCTCGTCTATAGAAAGACCTCTTCAGCTCGTCTATAAGGGCTCCCTTCAGTTCCTCCATAAAGAGTCATTCTCTCTTTAGCTCCTCTAGAAAAAGTCACTTCTACTCCTCTATTAAGAACCCCTTCAGCTCTTCTATAAAGGCTCCCTTCAGTTCCTGTATAAATACCCCTTTAGATCCCCTATAAAGACCTCTTTTAGATCCTCAATCAAAGGCCTTCCAATTTTTAATTCTCTTCTCATTTATTTTTTCAGCTGGTCCCATACCACCACCATTACCCACAGCATGGAATCCATATTATTATGCTGCCGGTGTGCCACCACCACCTCCTCCTCCACCTCAGGCCAACTATGGCATATCCCAAAGTGCAGGACATAATGTCACCATCAGCAACAGTGAATGCATTTGTACAGCAAATAATCTGGGGCATGCAACAACATCATCTTCAACTGCAACTAGTGCTGCTACAAATAATGGAACCCTCGCATCCGATCCAATGTTGCAACAATTTATACAAACCCAACAGATGTTGATCAATTCGGTATGCCAATGCAATCAAATGTTGTGGCATCAACAGCGGGAAATTGATAATCTCAATCAAACGATACACATTTTGCAAGAACGCCTTCTGTCACTCGGTGGCCCAGCTGCTGCTGGAGGCAATAATGCAGAAATTGGTGGCTATACATTACGCTCAGAATCGGTACCACCACCTAGCCTAAGTGGTATACCACCAGCCAGCCAGGCATTACCCAATAATCTATATATGACCATAAATCGTGCACAATCGGAACAGCCAACTAGCATGTATTTACCCTCAGCAGGTACACAGCCTAGGAATACTGGTTTTGGTAGCTATCAACAACAACAGCATCATCAACAACAACATCATGTCTACCGTAGGGTGTCACAACAACCAAATGCTGGCTATAATTTCGCTGCTGAAACTCAGCAACACAACTCATCGTCGTCCGCTTCGGCCAGTATGTTTTCCACATTGAATAATGCCACCGTACCACCACCACCCCAACAGCCGGCACCCGGTACAACTTTATTCAACAATGAAATACCAACACCACCCTCCCCCGTGGTTGGTCCCGCTCCCATATTTATGCATCATCACAATAATTCGATACATCAGAATAATGCCAATTTGCGTACCCAAAATCAGCAGCAACAACAACAGCAGCAGCATCACCATCATCATAGCAACATAACGGGTAGTACATTGAATAATCAGGTGCCACCTGGAAATCGTGCCAACAATTATTGGGATAATTTTAGAAGGTAAATAGATTTTGAATTTTTCTTTCATTTCTCTCAATTTTGTAAAGGATTTGAAAAAAAAGTAAAGTGAGAATTTATTGTTATTATTTTTTATATAAATATATATAAAAGTTTTAGAAAAATATGTAACGAATTGCAGCAATAGAATTCACATACGCAATATATATACAAAAAATATATAATCAACACAACCCCTTTATAAAAACAATGGTTGTCTTATTATTTTTATTATTAAATTTTAATTTACATTTTGGACAAGATTTGAAATGTAATTTTTGAAAACAAAAGTCGCTCTTTTTCGTATGAAATAATTATAAGTATGTAAGTAGATATACCCACACCATTTAAAGATTTTATTGGACGGATTCTCTTCGAATTGTATCGAAAGAAATTTCGGGTTTTTATTACATTTTTATTCATAACTGATATATAATAATATTTGTTTATATTTGAAGTCGTTCTCTTTATTTCGTTTGTAAAGCCCACCTTTAGATAATCTATAAAAACTCCTTTCAGATCATCGTCTTGAAAGGCTCCATTCAGGTCTTCTATAAAGTCTGTCTTCAGCTCGTCTATAAAAACACCCTTCAGCTCAGTTCGTCTATAAAGAAACCCTTCAGCTCGCCCTACAATGACTGTCATAGTCTATAACCACTTCCTACAGCTCGTCTTTAAAGGCTACCTATCAAGCATCTCCTCCCTGGTTCGAACCATATGTCGACGTGTATGTTGTATATCACAATTTAGATCCGTACAACCAGGGCAATGCTACGAGGAGTTAAAGACCAGGAGTTTCTACTCCGCAGTTTATTCTTGCTTCAACACGTTCGCTTGATACTTCCTACCTCGATTTGGGATCTTTAGATATTACTCTGCGAAATCTGACCGCTTTATTAACTCCTTCAATTGATTCACTAGTGCGGTGATTAGAAAGGAAGAAAGGCTAACCGGTCTATGGTCCTTAGGTAACGGCTTTCAGGATGAAGGTCACGATAATAACTGACAAGCTTTAAAAATTTCCTGCACTGTGTGACCAATGTACGATCATCTGCATGCCATCCGGCCCTGGGGATTTGTAGGCCTGAAAGCTATTTATTGTCTATACCAGTTTCTCCTCTTCTACGTTGGTTCGAACCATATATTGACGTGTATGTTGCACACGAGTCTCATTTTCGGAATTTTCCCACGCTTTGAAAATTTTAGATATTACTCGGCGAAATCTGTTCGCTTCATAAACTCCTTCTATAGATTCACTTAAGCAAACCCCAAGACCTACGTTTAGCCTTCTAGTTTCCACTTGTGTACCTATTGAATTATTCTATGTAAACGTCCCAAGCTTATGAGCGATCGAATGTGTTTAGGATGCTGTTTTAGACTTCGACTTTCATTCTGTTTCAAAAAAGTCGCCTTATTGCCCCTATTAAATATTCTCAAGATTATATCTAAGTATAAAATCGAATATGGACTCACCACGTGGATTGCTGTCATTGTTTCCCTCAGAAGAATTCCGTGGGTTCCTATAAGAATATTATATATTCTCAAGATTATATCTAAGTATAAAATCGAATATGGACTCACCACGTGGATTGCTGTCATTGTTTCCCTCAGAAGAATTCCGTGGGTTCCTATAAGGCTTATCTCTTACTTTGGAGGAGGGAATCTGGAATAGTATCTTCGTGTCGATGACTTCGCCTCTCACTCTATTTACAAAAGTTGCTGTGTTGCACCCTATTGCATATCCAAAGATTATACCTCGTGGATTGTGGAATTTTTTCCCTCAGAAGAGTTGTGAGGGTTCCTATAAGGTTTGCCTCGCACTGTGTTTACAAAAGTCGCTGTGTTGCCCTCTATTACATATCATAAGATTATATCTAAGTTTAAAATCAAATATGGACTCATCACGTGGATTGGAGTCACGATATTGGCATCCTTAGATCCGAAAAGAAGCATTTGTTTCAGATACCTTCCAGTACCAAACCCATAGAGTCGTCATGTTTGTAAGGATATGTCGATGACTTCGCCGATCACTCTATTTACAAAAGTCCCTGTTTTGTCCCCTATTACATATTTTAAAATTATATCTAAGTATAAAATCTAATATGGTCTCACCTCGTGGATTGGTGTCACTACTTCCCCAGTGGAAATGGTTTCATTTGTTTCAGATACCTCCCAGTTCCTAACCCCAGAGTCGTGCATATTTGTGAGGGTGATGTCGACGACTTCGCCTCTGTTTTGTAAACTCTTTTTTTGTTGCTGTGCATATCCGTATTGCATATCCTGCATTATATCTACGATGGCAGTTCGGAAAGTTCTTAGCCTAGCACAGAAAGCGGGGAATAAACATAAAAAATTTGGGTTTTTTGGAAACTTTCATCTGTGTTATGAACACATATTGAATTTTCCTTCGATCTGCCAACTACTTAATAAAGAAACAGGTGTTCAAAGAAGACGCATCCGCAATTTTCCGCAATCCTAAGATTATATCAAAATATAAAATCGAATATAGACTCAACTCGCGGATTAGTGTTTCTGCTTCCCCAGTGAAAATGGTGGGCATTGCATTCACAGCCAATCACCAATAGCCCTAATTTCCTCCAACGGATTGCATACTTTCGATCGGGTGGGTCAGGAAGATAACTAAAATATTGGGAAATAATTAAAATATTTAGAAACTATTTCTTTTTTTTTAAGAAAGGTTCAAAATTTGTAAGTAGAAAAAATATCTTTTATGTCACCTCCTAACAATATTTTTGTTGTTATAATTTTTTTATTTTTATTTTGTTTAAATGTTTGCATGTTTAACCGCCCACAACACCACCACCACCCCTTATTAACAAATCATGTTGCTTTTCTTCTTCTTATTTTTCATTGCATATTTTTGTATGTGTGTTCTCTAACACTATCATAAAAAAGCTATTCGCGCCAAAATCTGCTTTCAACTAATTCCAATAAAAGTAACGAGGAACAGCAACAAATGTTGCAACAACAACAGCAGCAGCAGCAACAACAGCAACCCGATACTAACAGCTATGATCGTTCAGCAACTATGCAGCAACATCCTTCGCAACAGCCTCCGCAACCACAGCCGCAGCAATTATTCCATGAAGCGAATTTGAATTTAGATGATTGTGTTAATAATTTAAATTATGCCACGGCGGGCGCAGCCACCACCACCACGGTTAGTCCCAACAATGAGGCCAGCTCGAAATATTTACGTATTCTGCAACGTTCCCGTATAAATCAGCAACAACAGCAGCTGCAATATCAACAACAGAATTCATATCAGCAACATCGGGAATTGCAGCATTTAAATTGGTTGGAGCAATCACAACAGCCGCAGCAGCATCATGAAAATAATAGTAATGTAACAACAACAACATCAGTGGCGGGTGGTGGTGGTGCTAATAATTCCACCACCACCAACCCTGCTGCTGATTTAATGTATCACAATTATAATATACAGCAGAACAATAAAATCGGTCCCAAGCCCAATTGGCGTTTTCGTAATCTGAACGAAGATTATAACCTAGCAGCCATAAATCGCATACAGCCAACATCCGCAGGAGCCAGGCAACAACAGCCCTTGCCACGCTATCAAAATACGGCATTTACTTCCCAACAGCAGGAAGCTCCTCAATATCTGAATCTCCTACATCCTCAGGCTCAGCTGAATCGTAATCATGATTTCCTTTTGCAAATCAATGATGACCCCAATAATGGCTATAATTACCTAAATCCGCAGCAGCAGCAACAAATGCCCTTGGATTATTCCACCACTAATCCACAAAACATATTACCACCTAACTCCTCCCGCTGTCATCCGGCAGACGAAGATGATGAAAACAATGAAGAAGATGAAAACGATAATGACGACGACGATGACGACGAAGAAGATGATACAACTTCGGAGGAGATAAAACGTAACCTCTTGGTTAACGCTCTGAAAAATGATAAATTCACCACGAAATTTTATGAATCCATAAAGGAGGATGTTTTTCGGCGTTTGGAAAGTATGCTTTTGGACAAGGATAATGTGGCAACACACAGTAGTGGTGCGGGTGGGATGATGCCTCCCCAACTCTTCAACAACATTGGCAATCATGGGCATGTCCATTCCTTGCGTAAACTCAATTTAAATGAGCAGCGGGATCAGTTACAACAACAATTGCAGCAGCAGCAACAACAACAACATTCCATATCATCATCTTCATCACAGTTTGATCAGCAGAAGCAATTTGAAGTGCAGCAGCAACAACAGGTTTCCGATGATTCCAATACACCACGTAATGATGTATTTTACCCTAGCTCTTCGATAAATACCAACACGAATGAGGACTCCGCAGCGAATGCGGATAATGAAAATGAAAAACCCGAAGAGGATACAAATTGGTTACAAAATAACATAAATAATACAAATCAGCAGCAGCCAGGACAACAGCAGCCACAGCAACAGTTGTCTGAAACCAAAACAAATTCATCTGCGGCGACAACAACAACTACATCGACTACTTCGACCAGCACAAAAAATTGCTCGAAAAAACGTAAAAATCTACGCAAGCAACCCTTGCAGGCGAATAACAACAACAATGCCTCTGCTGCAAAAGAGGAGGATCGCAATGAGAATTTGAGAGGTGCCTGTAGCTTGGCTGCCCAGCAGCATCATAAACAACAACAACAGCAGCAGCAGATTAATAAGGATAAGGTAAGATTCGATTTTTTTCTCTCCTCATGCCATTTTTATACCCTTAACCCCGTGCACAAATAGTAAGGGTTCCGGAGGAAAGTGCCAATGATCTTCGGGACCGAGGAGACAAAGTCTTTTTGCCCGCCAAACTTATGAGTCAACATGGTCAGCGGGAAAGAATTCAGCTGGATAAAGAACATTTTGAAAATTAAATTTGAAATTTGTAAATCTTAATACTTTAACCAAATCTTGGTCATATTCAAAGATTGGTCATACCGGTGCACTCCTTCGGATATCTCTCCCAAAAAAGGGTAAACAATTTTAAAATTTGTTAATTCAATATCGAACTTCTATTCATTCGATTTGATCCAAACTTTGCAGATCATAATATTTGTACCTTGGCTAGATCATGTCTGAAAATGGGACCCATCGGTCCACTTTTTCTAATACCTCCCCCACAAAGTGTCAACATTTTGAAAATATTCTTAATTCCATGACAGGCGAATACAATGTCCGATTTGATCCAAACTTTACATATCATAATATTTTTACCTTGGCTAGACTATATCCGAAGATGGGACCCATCGGTCCACTTTTTCTAATAACTCCCCCACAGTGTCAAATTTTTGAAAAATTGTTAATTTAATATCACGCGAATATAGTGTCCGATTTTATCCAAACTTTACTTATAATAATATTTTTACCTTTGCTAGACTATATCCGAAGATGGCACCCATCGGTCCATTTTTTCTAATAGCTCCCCCACAAAGTATAAAAATTTTGAAATTTTTCTTATTTTAATACCAGGCGAATGTAATGTCCGATTTGATCCCAAATGTACATATCATAATATTTTTACATTGGCTAGATCATGTCCGAAGATGAGACCCATCGATCCAATCCTTCTGGTAGCTCACAAAATGGTCAACATTTTCAAAAATTTGTTTATTCAATATCAAACGAGTGGAATGCCCGATTTGACCCAAACTTTACACATCGTAATATTTTTACCAAACCTTGATCATTTCAGAAGATGGCCACCATTGGTCCACTACTTCTGGTACCTCCCCCACAAACATGCAAATATATATTTCTCAAGAGCAACTTCTTCTTGTACCTCGCCACAACAGATGGTGAACTATTTGAGAAAAACATATGTTATATAAAAAGCGAATAGCAGTGTGTAGTAATTCCGTAGACCTCCGAAAAACCAAGGGGATGGGGTACACCGACTGATACTTTTTTCACTTGTTTACCCATTCCCATAATGTTATTGACCCGACTTCTTTCTTCCACATTTTTTTTCTTACAGCAAAACGAAACAAAACCCATTACGGAAAATTCGAATGCACCCAATGGGGTCCCTGGCATCGCTACCGCTACTAACCCTAAATCCACCACCAATGCCTCACCGGCTAACGAGGGTGATCTTATCAAATATATAATAGCACGAATACGCAATCAAACACATACCAACACCCTAATCAATGATACGCTCTTGGTGGAGGTGGCCAAGCTGACAGCATCGGTGGCCCAGAATGCACACAACACCCATGCATGCAGCATCAGTAGCAACACCAACAATAACAATCCCCATGGTAATATAATATCACCGAAAAAAATCTATACAAAAATTAAGAAGCTGACAATACCCAAGGAAAGAGATGAATTTTTGTCGTGGTATCAACATTATTTGGAAAATACCCTATTTGCTGGGAATACACACGATGTGAAAATGAAGGGTATTAAAACGGCAAATAATCATCATTCCATAGGAACAACAGCAGCAATACAACAAAATGGAGAAAAAACAACATCTTCAGCTGTGGCAGTAGGGGCAGCATCACTTCCATCACAGCAACAGCAGGATGATGGTGATTTGGCTGAGGCTGATCAAAATTGTTCCTCAAATACCAGTGCAAATTATCACAAAGACGATGAGGATGAAGGAACTCAATTAAATAATTGTGAAAATCCCAATAAAATCGTTGGCTCCTCCTCCGCCAATGAAGATTCAAATTTAGAAGGTGCTTGTGCTTTAGTCACTTCCACCTCTTCCTCGACTCATAATACCCAACAATTGGAAGAATTGCAGCAAGGTGTCTCCATTACTACGGCCTCGGAAAAAGTGGATATCAAATTTGAAAAACAAGATGGCAATGAAAAGGATTAAAAAATTTTACAACTACATACTACTACATATATAAATATCTATTACATACACATATAGCTGTATATTTTCCCTTTCTTTTAGTTTATAAGTTTGTCCCACTCTTCTATCCCATATATATATGTTCTTTTTTTATTTATTGAATTAATCCTAAACTTAAAATATTGGCATCTACATAACTAAACTACCTTCGTACATTCCCTTCGAAGACATTCTCTCCTCCCTGTCTCTATTTCCCTCGCACCAAAACCCATTCCATTTTTATAAATTAAAACGAAAACTACACTTCTTCAGCAAAAACAAATAAATAAAAACATAAACTGCTAATTAAATATTAAAATGTTTTAATTATTACTACGGTCCCCAGAAAAATATTTTTAAAAAATCCAATCCTTTTTGTGTAGGCCTTGAAAAATATTAATAAAAAATGCACCCCACGCCTTATTGTAGGCCTCAGAAAAATATTTCTAATAAATCCACGCCTTATTATAGGCCTTCGATGTTTGGCTTAACCACCCGGTCGACAGGATCTCCATTTAATATGTTTTTATTGAGAACAAAAATTGATTATTCAAAAGAAATTATCTGCTTCTGAACCATTAGCCTTTGTTAACTTCTTGCCAATTCTTCCAACATACGATAATAACAATAACGACTATCATATTCCATGTCATACCAAAAATTCACAGCTATGCATTTGTGACTCTGGCGAACATGATGATACCAATAGTTGGGTAAAAACAAAACATCTCCCGCATTAAGACGTACCCTTAATGGTTTAATTTTCGAATATTGTGGATATTTTGCTAAATCCGGAGCCAACGGGTCAATACTAATCCATTCGGTAAGTAAAGGTTCTGGGCCAACTGACTCCACCTCACCCTCATCGTTATAATGTTCCTCCAGCACCGGATCAATATAATATTGATTTAATTCGTTGCGTTTGTACACTCCCGTTGGATACATGGCCTTTGGTATCCATGGCAAACAATGAGGTGGAAATAGAATAAAATCTTTATGACCCGAAATTACACAATAGATATTATCATATGGATCTTTGTGCATTGATGTTATGGCTTTTTCATCACCCATCCAGAAATTCACAGCATCTGGAGGTTTATTAAAACATTTCTCGGCAAATTCGAATATCGTTGGATCAATGTCATCTTTAAGTTCGGGAAAATCCAAGGTAAAATTTGAATTCTGTTTTTGTATATAATACACAGCTCCCGTGGGATCATCGAGGCGCTCCAGAAACGAAGACATTGTTATTTGCTCTTCCAAGGGTAACACAAAATATTCCTTTTTGTCTGTGTGCCTTATGGCCAAACCATCAGCATAACCATTGGGTGTTACAGCTACATCGACAATTTTCGATCCCAATTGTTCTTTGAAATATTCTGGATTCCATTTGTTCATAGCCTTCCAGGATGAGAGCACATTTCTAAATACCACCGGCTTTTGTTTGGCATAATATTCCCGGCAAAATTCCAATGTGTCTGGTAAGGCATCGAGTTCGCAGATCTCAGTTCCAATGCAAAAATCTTGGGCTTCATTCAGTAAAAGGTCAAATGCGGATTTTATTTTTTTACTACTCATATTGGCACGACGGTTTCCAGAACAGAACACAAATAAAACTCATGGAGTGGCCTTTCAAAACAGATGGTAAGTCATCTGTTGCCTATTTTACCATTATTCCCTTTTTATACCTATAGATCCCTATTAAATGTCATATGGCAGCTCTATGGAAAAACATATGTAACGTCAAAGATGGGAAATCGATTTGTATGTCCCTAATTGTTGTTGACATTTGATATACAGTTAACCATGTACATGTTTGAACTTTGAAGAGAATGAAAAACAGATTAAAACAAAGAAGAGAGGGGAGGAGAGAGTCAAAGTTATTAAACTCTCACGACTGTCAATTATTAAGGCATTCAGTAATCGATAAATAAAACGTAAATAACTGATAGTCTTTATTCTTCATATACTCCAAAAGTCAACCTATAGATCCCTATCTGACAAATCATATGGCAGCACATTGCAAAAAAACGAACATATGTTACACATAGAGAGCAGACCAGTTGATTTCTATATCCCTAATTTAGGCAAAAAAAAAGTGAATTTTTTGGTAGGATAGCCGAAAAAAAACATATTGCCACAATTAATGAAACATTTTAAAATAGAATAGGCGCAAATCCATTAAAAAACAAAATTTTCACGTAATCTTAAGAATATGGATACCAAAATAGACGAAACGATCAGTGTGACAACGACACCCGCTGCCAGTATCCCCCACTCTACCGACTCCGACAATGACAATGGTGAGGAAATCATCAATTGGGAGGAGGAAGCAACAGCAATTATAAATGATGTCAAGACCCATGTAGCCGAAATTGAAATATCCAAAGTGCTGCCGAGCAATGAAAGTCACATTTATATGAATATACGGACCTTTGAGGGTGCCACCTATTGTATACATGTCAGTAGTATGGGATTTCGTGTGGTGTCCGAGATGTACAATACCATAGACGAGGATAAGACCGAGGTGAATGAAGATGAGGTATACGAGACACCATATGCCCTGCTGGATAAAATTAGCCCCCGTTATGTTGAGTCCTTTGGTAATCAATTGTGTAAGCAGTTACTGGCATTGCAACAAATGCGTACCGAATTCAAGGAAGAAGATGAGGAGGGGCTCGAAGAAGAGGAGGAGGATGAGTAGGAGTCGGAGGATTGGAACAACGAATATGATTAGGAGACTAACAGACTAATATTTTAGAATTGTAAGTTAACATTTCACACACACAAGAGCAAGACTATAACCGCCCCACCCCCATACGTGTCTCAAGAGAAATAACAAAAACCACTAGGAAAATTCTCCCCCTTCTTCATAGGTATATCTATCGCGACAATTTGCAAGAAATGAAAAAAATGTAACATTATTTTTTGTTTTGTTGTATTTTTTTATGTGTGGTATAATTTAATAAGCAGCTATGCGGAGTATGTGTATATCCTATGCTCGAACGCATTTTTATATATATCAATTAGTAGAGTAATAATAATAATTATGAATGTGATTTTTGTTTTGTTTCTTTTGTTGTAAAACATTATTAAATTCCATGCGATCCAATCAGCACAGCATATATCCGTGATTGATGATCGTTCCAAATATCTGTATGTATGTATATGTAATATTTGTTTTAGACTTTTAAACGTTTCAAAAATAAAGATTGTGATTGTAATTCCAAGTCGGTGAGTTTTTTAACAATTGGTATTAGTTGTTGTACATGATCCTTGTAGCCGGTACCGGTATTTAAATTCTTTTGACCATATACCACTTTGCCATCGAAATCATTGAGAGGAACGGACATATTTTTATCGACTTGTTGAATGGTTATGTTCAAGTGATCTTCAATTTCAGCCAATAGCTAAAAGGAAAAAAAACAACAAAAATATTAAAATCGGTAAGGAATGGATGAAAGTCGAATGGGAACGACTATGCAGTAACCTACACCAACCACTTTGGGTATATACAGGAGCCTATATATTAATTCGGATGAAAATCTATATGGGAGCTAATTCTAAATCTGAATCGATTTTAAGCAAACTTGACAAACGTCTTTCTATACTCAATTCGGTAGCTTGAACAAAGTCGTATCTATCGGACACCCTTTACTTGAAATCGGAAGAAAATATATATATGGGAGTTATATCTAAATCGAATCCGGGACTTAAATGGTACCTATACCTAAAACTAAACCGATTTATATAAAACTTGGCATATACCACTCTAAACCCAATCCGATAGACTGTACAAAATTTCATAACAATCAGACAAATGTTGGACCTTTGAGGCACCATTTTCTTGAAATCGGAAGTAAATCTACATGGGAGTTCTATCTAAATCTGAACCGATTTATATCAAACTTGGCACACACTATTGTAAACTCAATGCAGTAGCCTGTACAACATTTCGTATCAATCGGACAAATGTTGCACCTTTGGGGCACAATTTTCTTGAAATCGGAAGAAAATATAAATGGGTGCTATATCTAAATCTGAACCGATTTTAATGAAACTTGATATACGTCTTTCTAGAATCGATTCGGTACGCTATGCATGGGAGCTACATCTAAATCTGAATTGATTTAAATTAAAATTGGCATATACTATTCTAAACCCAAGGTCGTAGCCTGTACAAAATTTCTTTTGGAGTACCATTTTCTTAAAATCGGAAATAAATCTACATAAGAGCTATAACTAAATATGAATCGATTTAAATCAAACTTGGCATATAGTATTCTAGACTCAATGCTGTAGCTAACACAAAATTTCATGTCAATCGGACAAACTTCGGGCATTTGGTGTACAATTTTCATGAAATCTAGTTATATATCGGAGCTATATCTAAATCTGAACCGATTTAAATTAAAATTGTCATATACTATTATAGACTCAATGCGGTAGCCTATATAAAATATCCATGAATCTTTCAATCGATGATATTATATAAGTATATCGATTTATATCAAACATGGTGCACAGACTCAATTTAGCCTGCATAAAATTTTGTGTTGATCGGACAAACGTTGGGACTTTGGTCCACAACCTTCATGAAATCGGATGAAATTATATATGGGAGCTACATCCTAATCGGAACCGATTTACATCAAACTTAACACATGCCATTCTAAGCTCTATTCATATCAATGGGAAAGTCGTAGTGACTTTTATGCAAAATTTTCTTGAAATCGGACGAATTTATATAGAAGGCTATGCCCAAATTTGAATCGAACCTGTGCCACAGTGTGGTGTAAGGTATAAAAATAGGAGGAATGACATAAATAACCTACATTCTTTTCATTGTACCAAATGCAGCAACCTCGATTATCGGTGAGATTGGTATTCGAGCAATTACGGCCACGAGTGGGACACCAATCGCCATGATACCAAACCTGGAAAATAACAAATATATATTATTTACATCACAACAACTATAGAAATATGCAAACAAACCTTTTCCGGCACGGTCGATACTAAACTAATGGCCAAACCCATACGCTCCGCACGTCCTACACGACCAATACGATGGACATAATTCGACTTTTCATCGGGCAGTGTAATATTTATCATATATGGTAATCCGGTAATATCCAAACCTCTTGCCGCCACATCAGTACATATAAGGAATTTAACATCACCCCTCTTAAAGGCTTCCAAATTTTGTTTACGTTCATTTGGCTTACGATCACCATGCAAGCAGACACATGAATATCTTTGGCCACCACGTGACTTCAAATATTTCTCCAAATTATCACAATCCAATTTGGTACGACAAAATAGTATAGCACGATCCATTTTATGTTCCTCAATGGCACGAATACAATATTCCCCTTTCAGTATTTTTATGGCTTCTGAATAGGTTTCGGGAGTTAAGTTATGGGGATGAGGATTATCCCGGGCATGAACACCATCAGTACGAATGTGTTGTCGTAAACTGTGCCATGTTGTATCACGTTGTGGATCTACCATACAGACAACATGATGTACTGTTTCCGGTACAGCATCTTCACCCTTGAGATCTACCCAGGTGGGGAAATGCATAAGACGATCAGCCATTTTCTTTACTTCGAATGCGTGTAGAGTGGCCGAACAGACAACCATTTGGAGGCGACGACCGTCCGAGGTCATTTTGGGAATTTGCTTGTGCAAACGGTCAATGAGATCGGTATAGCCTTGTTTGAGCAAGGCATCGGCTTCATCCAGAACGAAGAATCTTGAAGAAAAATTAAAAAAAATTAAATAAAAATCATGTTCCTCAAATCCAATTCCACTTACTTGCAATGTGTCAGCTGAACAAATCCCCCACTGATCATTTCCTCCAAACGCCCGGGGGTGCCCACAACAATATGCACACCCTGTTGCAGCAGACTCTTTTGCTGTTCCAATTTAACACCACCAATCAACAATAGACTACGAACATCGGGATTTGACAAATGCACCTTGAACTTTTCAATCTGATTATAAGTCTGTTCGGCCAATTCCCTACTTGGTTCTATGATAATGGCCTGAGGTGCATTGGGCGAGGGTTTATTTGAACCAGCATTGGCAGCTGGACTTGCCAAAGGATTTGCTTTGGTATGTGAAGGGCCAGCTTGGCTAGCAGCAATGAAGCCATTTTTAGGTGGATATTTAAAATCCGTCTTGCCAAAATTAAAGGCCATTTCGGCATTTTTCAAAACCACAGCCGGGTAAAAAGTTTCATTGCGTAGATTATCGTTAATGCGAAAAGCCACACCCAATGGTACACCATTTTTGCTAAACGACACCTCCATACGTTCCAAATCCAAATAACAGCCAATTACATCATTTTTGCCAAATGCCTCGCCGTAGTCGTCGAATTGGCGGTTATTCGATTTTTTGCCAGTGCCACCAAAGCCATAACCTAAAAAAATATCCTCCCATTAATATGATTTTAATAAAGAATTCATTTTCCCACTACTCACCAAAACGACATGTTCCCAAATCCAAATTTGCCTCCTGTGTGGACCAGCCCACTCTGCACAAACCCTCATCGGTAACCGTGGCCTCATAATAAAATTTCCCCTTGCCCTTAACACCGGTAGTACAGCGACAGCCATGCCATTCCTTGAACTCACGACTCTGGCAACGCAGGCCGTCAGGTGTTACGGCCAAAGCATTGCCACGATCAAAAAAGGACATAGTCCATGGGGCAGCACTCGCTGAAGATCCTGTTCCACCCTTCAAACCCTTACCCTCTTCCAAGTCCCTTAATGTTTCCCAAACAATTTGCAGAATTGGCAAACAAAAGGCACCGGTTTTGCCAGAGCCTGTTTCTGCAGCCATTAAAACATCACCTCCACCCAGAATTAGAGGTATAGCCTCAGCCTGGACATCAGTTGGTAATCTAAAAACAAACAAAAAAGGCATCATGAAATTCATCAATCAATCATGAATGACCACGAATTTATTCACAAACTCACGTCCATTCCATTTCCTCAATGGCCTTGGCAATTTCTGGCAAAACGCCAAATTCTGAAAGAGCGGAATTTTATTTCAGTTCTACAAAATATTATTTTCCCTTTTATACCTTCAAATGCAGTCATTTTTTATAAAAAATATCTGTATTTTTTTCTCGCAATTAAAAAATCCAGAAATGTCTGCAAAAAAGCCGGTGAGTATCAGAGACCTGCGCTGATCGGCTCACAGCCGGCTGAGCCGAGCCGCCGATAAAATTCAAAAGCCGCCGCCGCCGAAATTTTGTTCGGCTTCAATCGGCTTAAATACACCCGCCGTTTCATGTTCGTTATAAGAAAAAATGCGAAAAAATACTGTTTTTATAATTAATATAATTATTATAATTAAAAACCAGTGAGCGGGACAGTATAGTCGGACGGGGCCGACTATATGATACCCTACACAACTTCCTCGAAAATCTAACTTTCTGTGGTTCTATATTTTGATCTGTCCTATAGATCGACTCGAAAAAAAACACAAAAAATTATGTTTCGGTCCACTTTATCCCAATATTATTATCTGATAATCACCGAAAATTATGGGCGTTGTCCTTGACCATACCTGGATCCTCATAGAAAATTTCAAAGCTATCAGCGCTATATTTCCGCCCTCTAGTGTGTTAATGGGTTACTGAATAATATCTGAGTGCGTAAGCACCTGTATATATTTACGTGTAACTCCCACATCCAAGTACATACGACAACGTAATTGATATCAATTTGAAGGCCAACCAATCCTCATGGATATGTTGTAAACTTCTTGGGTCTATGTCATTCAGGGGTAAATATATACGCTATAAAATACAAATTTTGTAATTTTCGGGTCCATTTGACCCGCTAAATATTGACCGATCTTTGTCAAAGCAGACATGCTTATTCCTTAGCCCGATCCCAATGTTCGGGCCATAATTGCGACTTCTGGAGCGAACAGAAAACCGGACAAAAATTAAGTATTTGGTCCATTTCATCCCCTAAATATTAACCGATCTTTACCAAAAACAATAGGGATCTTCATTGGCCAGAACCCATCATACGTGCCAAATTTCGTGAAGATTGGTCCATAACTGTGGCCTGTATCGTGTTTACAAATTATAATGGACAGACGGACGGACACACATGTCTAGATCGAAACTAATTCAGAATCCTATGACGACATAGCTGTGTTTACGGAAATTGATAACGACATAAATGAGTATGAAAAAATATTGAGGAGAAAAAGTCAAATTAAAGAAAAAAGTACAATTGCTTTAACAAAAAAATCCTCAGGAGGATCAGTGGTTTGGGACCATTTTGGTCAATTGGCAATTGGAAACAAATCTATTCTTACAAAGTTCCAACTTTGCAAATTTTGCTTTGAGGAGACTCCCATGCGACTAAAAGGGTGAGTAAATGTTATTTCTTGGAAATGATAAATTAATTAGGAACCGTTGTTTTAGGAGAATTACCAATTAGATTAGATTTTCAGGGTTAGATTAGATCTTCAGGGTCGTAAGTACCCCACAATCAACACCAATATTGTATTCTATGAAAAAATAAGTGACAACAAAGAAGATTTAATTTTCAAAAACGAAACAATTTTATGCCTTGACATCGGCTCACAGCCGGCTTTAAGCCGCCGCCGACATTTTTAACATAAGCCGCCGCCGCCGACAAATTTGCTCGGCGCAGGTCTCTGGTAAATCGACTTTTTCAAAACGATAGTTTTTTTTTTTTTGGCAAATCGATGTAGGAATCACAAGTAAAGAAAGAAGGCATGAATTATCATGGTACAATAGTGCAACGTCGCCAATGTTTGAGCAATAATGGAAAAAAATCTATTTTTTGGTTTTTAATGTCAGAATAAATAAAAAACAAGTAAAAACTCGAAATTAATGAAGAAAATACCGAATTTTGGTGAACAAAAAATAGAGATTGTCGCTTTATCTAATAAAGTTAAATTCCATGTAGCGCAGCTGATGACTCGATTAACTGTCAAAGTGCGTAATTTCGATTTGAATTCGATGTGCAATGTTGCCAGTCATGTGAAATATTATAAGGAAAAATTTGACAGATGGTCGAGCCAAAAAGAATGGTTTTTTGTTTTGATACATCACCTTATTATTGCATCATGGTTGCATCACACATGATCCAATAAACAGGTCGTGTCAGAAGCAATCGTTATCGAAAATTTTGGATTAATATCCCCCAAGCTGTCAAATTTTTTTTTATGTTTTCACACAATTAAGTCAACATTGAAAGCATTTAGACAGCTCGGGTGAAATCATCTGGCCTTATCGATTTGTTCCCGTACTTTTATTTACTTCTCTGCCACCGGCATTAAAGAGGATTGAATTTTGTTCGGAACAGCTTTCACCTGTCACCGATGTTGATGTTGAAACAACTCCTGTCTTTGGCATCGCTTTAACACGAGGTAAGAATTCGGGCGCTCGGAATTTCCCTATAGGGCTTGTTCGGATAGTCCCATTCGTATTTCCTCACGACTTTTAGATGCAGGATCCGACAACCCCAAGGCAGCCCAACCATATTTTATTTTTTGGGGGTTTAAAAATGTTCTTGATTCCATAGGCATCAATTCTCTCAAAATTTATTCTTACTATTTTCATTTAATTTTAATAATTTTTATATAAATAAATATCAGCTGATGACAATTTATTTTCTCTAAATATCACCCCATTTAAAAAAATGTGTAATTTCAAATTATTTTCCGAAATATCTTTATATCACATATACGTTATACGCTTTTATTTAAGCGCTTGCGTCTTTCAAAACACAATGAAGTTGGCTGCAGTTGTTATGTCAATTGAATGACGAAGAGAAATGACAACCATCCTTTCTTTTCGTCGTCGACGTCAACCAGAACACATCGTTTATCGCTTTGGTAGGTGTTGCACATTTTTTTAATTAAAAAAAATTAATCTAAAAAAATGGAAAACATCCTTTGTTGTTATCCAAAAATTATATTTCCATCTAACTACCGAAATGGAGAATAATTTATTAATAATATTATTTTATTTCTATTGCAGTTCTTAAATTCATTTTCACGAGTCCCTATCTACACACTTGATTCAAGATGGTTAGGGAGAACAAAGCTGCCTGGAAGGCTCAATATTTTCTTAAAGTTGTCGTAAGTATTATTTGTCCATATTTTTTTTATTTATTTGAGTTAATGTTATTTGTAAATGATGTAACAACCTTACGTCTAAATGTCTATCGTCTGAATGCCCAGCTTGAAAAAGCAGAACCCAGGTATTCTGGTAGACTAGAAGTTGAGAAAATGCTCTTAGAGCGCGTCTGATGTTTATTACAAAAACAAACTTTTTGTTTTGTTCCAAGTTGGAATAATTTACTAATCTGCATTTTTTTCTATCCCCTTCCAGGAACTCTTCAACGAATACCCCAAGTGCTTCATCGTAGGTGCTGACAATGTCGGTTCCCGTCAAATGCAACACATCCGTACCAGCCTCCGCGGTATGGGTGTCGTTCTTATGGGTAAGAACACCATGATGCGCAAGGCCATCCGTGGTCATTTGGAGCAAAACGCCCAATTGGAAAAATTGTTGCCCCACATCAAGGGTAATGTTGGTTTCGTCTTCACCAAGGGCGATTTGGCTGAAGTTCGTGACAAATTGTTGGAATCCAAGGTCCGTGCTCCAGCTCGTGCCGGTGCCATTGCTCCCTTGCCCGTCATTATCCCAGCCCAAAATACCGGTTTGGGTCCCGAAAAGACTTCTTTCTTCCAAGCCTTGTCTATCCCCACCAAGATTTCCAAGGGTACAATTGAAATTATCAACGATGTGCCCATCTTGAAGCCTGGTGACAAGGTCGGTGCTTCCGAAGCTACCTTGCTTAACATGTTGAACATCTCTCCCTTCTCATACGGTTTGATCATCAACCAAGTTTACGATTCCGGTTCCATCTTCTCGCCCGAAATTTTGGACATCAAACCCGAGGATTTGCGTGCCAAATTCCAAGCTGGTGTTGCCAACTTGGCCGCTGTCTGTTTGGAAATTGGATACCCAACCATTGCTTCGGCTCCTCACAGCATTGCCAACGGTTTCAAGAACTTGTTGGCTCTTGCCGCCACCACCGAAGTGGAATTCAAGGAAGCCACCACCATCAAGGAATACATCAAGGATCCCAGCAAGTTTGCTGCCGCCGCTGCTCCAGCTGCCTCTGCTGCCCCAGTTGCCGAAAAGAAGGAAGAAGCCAAGAAAGAAGAATCCGAAGAAGAGGATGACGATGATATGGGCTTGGGTCTTTTCGATTAAGAAGTTCGAATGCACTTTTAAAATACAACAACAACAATTTTACCCATTCTCTTGGGTATTAACGTTGAAGAGATTACGCTTTATGGCCATATGACCACCACCTTAAGTATGGCTTGATGTTTTTCGACAATATCTGGAAAAAACACCATAATCTGTGATTTGTTTGCAAACAACAACCCTTGTGTTACAACAAATTATTGTCGCGGTTTTGACATACCCAATGGCAAGTTGTTGTATACATGTGGTTATATGCTTAGAAATCTTTAAATAAATTAAAGACGTAATCTTCTAAATAATCTTTGTTTTCATTACCTTTGGGGGATTTATTTTATAGAAAAAAATGTGGGCCTTGTAACGCTTTCGATTTTAGATATTCTGGATGTTAAATTACCTTGGCGCCTTTCTAAGTTACATAGAGACAATCCGTCATATATTTAAACGACTGGAGGATAATCAGCTTGATAGCAACCAGAATATTCCAAAAAAATTTAATCCGCCAAACATGCCAAGTAAAAAGTTTAAAAGGAAAAATATGTTTGTATTCTCTTGACTGAAGGTTGTAAAAGTTTTAAAGTAAATTCTACACCTTTTGTAAGTTTTTTAATATCTTTTATTTGTAATTTTTTTTTAAATTATCAAAATATTCTCCGTCTGAATCTAAGTTCACATCGTTCCATTTAATGAATATCAAGTATGAACTCATTTGTAGGATTGACCCAAATTTCCTTATTCATCCGTATTGACTCTGATTTGCTAACATTTTTTATCAATATTAATTTACCATTTTTAAGATCCCATTTGTCATTATTCGTCCACGTTTTGCTATAGCCCCAACATAATTTTAAGATTTTTTATATTTTATCATTTAAATTGTATATTTCATTGCATATAGTTCTGAAAAATCCTCATATAGTAGGTTAATGCGATAAAAATTCCGTTCTAGACGTTTTTTAAATCCAGTGGATTTCAATTGTCAATTTTATTGCATGTATGTAAAAATCCGTTTTATTCCATAATTACAACGAACATATATTTTATTTGACATTTCAACTTATTCGACGATGAAACGATATTTTTTATAAAACACTTCAGTTTTAAATAAATTATTGCGTTTTTGACAATTTTCGAAAAATAATATTGTAATCAGTAGAATTCATTGATTCATATTCTTTTAAAAAAATTAAGTCCCTTGCCTGGCTGTAATTTATTCTTGAACTTCATCAGACATTTTAATTTCGTCTGTTTTTTCAATGTGTTTTATATTACATCATCATTTAAAAGCCATTTAAATTGTCATTTCCTTTGTATATATGTCAAATGATGATTTTCGTTCAACACATTCTGTGTAAATGTACCCAAAGGCATTGTATTATGTCAAAAGACAGCAAAAGTTCAACATGTTCATTCACTTTACGGTTCCTTTTCAACACAACGAAACAAGTTGCAACTAGTTCACAATCGTTCCACTTAGTGAATATATTTTCGTTAGAACTAGTTCATACCGGAACGACAACTCTACGCTCTTTTTTTCCTAATGATAAACAATATCAAATAAACTATAATAATTCTACAATTCTTAATTTTAAGTTAAAAGAATACGAGAATCTCACAAATATGAAAATATCCGATGCCTTAAGGCGGCTGGATGCCTATCCACGCACATTGGAAGATTTTCGTGTACAAAGTGTTAGTGGGGCCATAAGTAAGTAGTACAAAACAAAATGTAATGAGCTGGCTTTATTTTTTACATTAAATTGTTATTGTTTTTTCTCCCCCTTTTCTTCTAGTTACTTTAATTAGCACCATAATTGTTGTAATATTAATTTTCTTGGAATTTATGGCATATATGACACCCAATCTCACCGAAGATCTCTTTGTCGATACAACACGTACCCACAAATTAAAAATTAACTTAGACATCACTTTACACAATTTAGCCTGTAATTATGTATCCTTGGATGCCATGGATTCATCGGGTGATCAACATTTACGTGTTGATCATGATATATTTAAACATCGTTTAGATTTGCAAGGAAATCCGCTGAAAGAAACTGCACCGATTAAGGAAATTGTCGCAGTTTCGCCTACAAATAAAAATACAACATGTGGCAGTTGTTATGGTGCCGAGTTTAATAGTACACAGTAAGCTATTTTTTGTTTTTCGATGATAATTCTAGAAATCTAATATGTGTTTTGTTTTTTTTAGCTGCTGTAATACGTGTGAATCGGTTCTGGAGGCATATCGTTTCAAGAAATGGAATGCTCCTCTGGATAAAATCGAACAATGTAAAGATCAATATAAACGTTCAGATGCTGATGCCTTCAAGGAGGGATGTCGCATCCAAGGACATTTGGAAGTTAATCGGGTATGTAGAACACAAAATAAATTTGAAAATTTAGGCATATGCTTTTGAAATAAGAATCTAGAGATTTGTCCAGTGGAAGACCAGTATCAGATTTTTAGGAGGGTCATCTCAAAAAATTCAAAACAATTATTTTCTTATAGAAAAAATTCCAAACAATTTTTTTCGTATAGAAAAGAATTCAAAACAATTTATTTCGTATAGAAAAAATTCAAAACCAGTTTTTTTTCGTATAGAAAAAAATTCAAAACCATTTTTTCGTATAGAAAAAATTCAAAACCATTTTTTTTCGTATAAAAAAAAATTCAAACCCATTTTTTCTTATAGAAAAAAAAATCGGAAAACTATTTTTTCGTATAGAAAAAAATTCAAAACATTTTTTTTTCGTATAGAAAAAAATTCAAAACATTTTTTTTCGTATAGAAAAAAATTTAAAACAATTTTTTTCGTACAGAAAAAAATTCAAAACAATTTTTTTCGTACAGAAAAAAATTCAAAACAATTTTTTTCGTATAGAAAAAAATTCAAAACAATTTTTTTCGTATAGAAAAAAATTCAAAACAATTTTTTTTTTTTTTAAGAAAAAAATTATAGAAAAAAATTCAAAACAATTTTTTTCGTATAGAAAAAAATTCGGAAAACTATTTTTTTCGTATAGAAAAAAATTCGGAAAACTATTTTTTTCGTATAGAAAAAAATTCAAAACAATTTTTTTCGTATAGAAAAAAATTCAAAACAATTTTTTTCGTATAGAAAAAAATTCAAAACAATTTTTTTCGTATAGAAAAAAATTCAAAACCATTTTTTTTCGTATAGAAAAAAATTCAAAACCATTTTTTTTCGTATAGAAAAAAATTCAAAACAATTTTTTTCGTATAGAAAAAAATTCGGAAAACTATTTTTTTCGTACACGGAGGTTTTTTTTTCGTATAGAAAAAAATTCAAAACCATTTTTTTTTCGTATAGAAAAAAATTCAAAACCATTTTTTTTTCGTATAGAAAAAAATTCAAAACCATTTTTTTTTCGTATAGAAAAAAATTCAAAACCATTTTTTTCGTATAGAAAAAAATTCAAAACCATTTTTTTTCGTATAGAAAAATATTCAAAACAAATTTTTTCGTATAGAAAAACCATTCAAATTCAAAAATTTTTTTTATATTCCCAAAATTATTTATTTTATTTTTTTATCATTTTTTTCATATCCAACCATTTACAGATGGCCGGTTCATTTCACTTAGCTCCTGGAAGTTCATTTTCAATACGACAATTTCACATACACGACTTTCAAGTAGCCAATGTTAAATTGGCACACACAATTAACCACCTGTCGTTTGGAGATAAAATTGAATTTGCCACAACTCATCCATTGGACGGGTTCAAGGTGATACCAGAAGAAGAGGGTAAGTTCGAATAGATGCAACACAAAATTTTATATTATACATCCTTATATTTATATTGAAAATTTATATTATAGCGTAATATTGTTTCAAGTACTCTTAGCAAAAAAGATAAATATCTAAAAGAAAACCCTACTTGTAACAAAACGAAAAGAAAAAAAAAATTGTATGAAAAACTATTAATTGTGAGAAGTTAAACGCCAATAGTTTTCATACACTCCGCTGTCGCCACCTCCAAAAAATATGAGGTTGCTCCTTATTTTGCAAATATATTCTAAGCCGCACTCAACAGCGTATACCAGTACCGATTGCCATGAATGTGCCAAATGTACCGCCACCTTGAATCATAACTTTGCCCACATTGTTGATAAGTTCACGGCCTCGCAAACCGTATCTGTTCAAATAGAGACAAAAGGAAAACATTAGAAAAAAATGGTCCAACAACACATGTGTGTTATAACGTCACACAACAATCAAAACACCACTTCCCAAAACAATACGTCATTATGTAATGCCGGTTATTGTTTTGGTGTTTTCACACAGTAAATTAAAATATTAGATTTATGTGTCGTATTTAGATTCCATGCAATTTCCATTACCTTAAGGCCGAAAAGCCACCAAACAATGCTCCACTGGCCATACCCACACAAAAACCAATTGTGAAACCAGTTTTCATTTTATCAAAGCATGATGGTCCTTGTTGACCAAAAGCACTGCTGGGCATGGGCATTTTGTTCGTTTAGAATTTGTTGCAGTTGTTTCCGAAAAAATTAATGCACAAAAATTTCAATTTATTATTTTTTGTGTGAATTTACGCTATATAATTTAATAATATGAGCAAATTCCTAATGTGAGAGATGTCAAATCATACGATAGTACGTACTATCGATAGTCTCGTGTTTGCAATCAATTGTTGGACTATCGAAAATACTATCGATATTTGTATGGCAGGTGACATGTTTATACGGTACTTTAACTGTTGATTTTTTTCTCTCTCTCTTTCTCTCTCTCTCGAATTCACTCTCATTTACAAATGGAAATTAAATCGATTGAACTGCTCATTGATATTTTTCAAATGTCATGTTCAAACGGGACTTTGTACTGAACTTTGTCGCTCTATGTACATAAACACATTAAAGCCGCTATCAAGAGATAGCGATAAGGATTTGTTGTCTCTTTTTTATTTAATCAAAGCAAGTGATAGACACATGTTCATATAGGTAGAGTTGCCAACCTTTTTTAAATTCCATGTGTTTTGTCAGTGCTTTAAATGAATAGGGGTAAATAAAATAATATAAATATTTAAAAATGAAGTGCAAAAAAATCGTTTATAAAAAATTCGAAAAAAAAATATTTTTTTCGTTTATAAAAAAATTTGAAAACTATTTTTTTAAAATTTCAAAAAAATATTATTATTTAAGAAAAAATTGGAAAAAAAAATCTGTAAAAATTGTTTTTTGTCCCTAGAAAAACAATTTCGACAACAATTTTTTTTTTCGTCCATAGAAAAAAATTTCGGTAGCAAAATTTTTTTCGTGCATAGAAAAAAATTTCGGTTGCAAAATTATTTTCGTGCATAGAAAAAAAAATCGGCACAAAAATCTTAAAAAAAAGAATTAATATTATTTTCTCTTCTTCTTCCCAGATGGCAAATCGGAAATGTACAATTACTATTTGAAAATTGTACCGACAGTCTATGTAAAACCCAATTCGGCGCCCATCAATACAAATCAATTTTCGGTTACCCGTTATCGCAAGGATCTGGGTAGTAAGGAGCGCGGTATGCCTGGCATATTTTTCAGTTATGAATTATCACCACTTATGGTGAAATATGAGGAAAATCAAAGGTAGGTACAATTTCTCAAACAAGCCTAAAAGTATGCTTTAATAATTTTTTTTATAATTTCCTTTTAGATCCTTTGGCCACTTTGCCACCAATTGCTGTTCAATTATCGGTGGTGTATTTACAGTGGCTGGTATATTAGCCGTTTTCCTCAACAATTCATGGGAAGTGTTACGCAATAAATTGGAAATTGGCAAATTAAGTTAACAAATCGGAATTTGTTTTAGTTCAAAAGGTGCTCAATATCCATTCCCATTACCTCACTTCCCCAAAAATGTCCGTTTTATAAATAAATGGATTTTTAGAACATGACTTTTTCCCGGAAAAAATTGAATATTCCAAATTTTTATTTCAATCTCTTTTTTTGTACAAAAGAAAATAATTTTTGTCTTTAAAATGTTTGTGTTTTTTAGATATTTTTTAAAATATTTGATATTAATTTGCTTTTTATAAAATAAGAAGACTTGCTTTTTGTAATTATGTATGTACGTATATCTCATTGTTTTTTATAATAAAACCAAAAACTTAATTTCAAAGAAACTATTGTTTTATTGGATTTATGTGGTCCTCTTTCCCACAGATAAAAATCCTGAGGTATTTGAGAAATATTTGGCATTCATTTCTGTTTGTGTCTTTTCCGCTGCCTGAGGATTGACAATTTCCAAACCTTGCAGAGGGGTAAATGCCACACTGGATGCAGTACCGGAAATGATTTGACGTTTTACGGTGGTGCTGCCACCATAAACCTGTTGTTTTTGCAAATTCTTTTGTAAAGTTTTACTAATGCGAACTTTGGTTTTTTCATCAACCTGCGGCAGACGTATGCCAGCACCAGTCTTGCCAATTGTACCACGGGAATAACCCAAATCATCTTGATAGGCATCTTCTTCAATCTACAAAAAATGGAAATTTAAAATATCTTTTAAAAAATTTTAAATTTAACCACAAACTTACATCACCAAAATTCATGCGATTTGCATGTTTACGGAATTCCGTCAGGGCATAACGTTCCTTCATTTTACGCACTCGCTTGCCACCACGTTTCTTTTTGCTGCCCTCAATGGGTTTGGGTAGTGGTTTAATAAATTTCACCGGTGGTGGTTCTTGCAACTTGTCCAATTTCTTTTCTATATCCTCTTTGAACTTTAAACCTATTTCTCCATGCACACTTTCATGGCAGGCATCAACACGGGCTGCCAACACAGCCTTGGCTGCCACTAAACGTGCCGCCTTACGCCTCAAGTCGGGTGGTGTGTCTTGAACAATTTGTGAAAAGAAAACATAACCGGTATGGGGTAGCATTTGGGTTTTGGAAAACCCGGCAAGGGTTTTCTTTTGTGAACCCAAAACTTGGACATTGCAGGCAGGCATTTTGGAAAGTTTGGTGAGGCCACCGGCAATACCCAAAAGTTTGGCGGCCGTGGAGGCACCTACAAAAAGGAATAATTTTAGTTTTCAATTCGTAATTAAGAGAATTTTCATATTAGCTGTAACTTACCCACAATCATTGACAGATTGGGTGCAATAAATGTCATGCGACTCTCCACATATTCATAGATTTTGGTTTTAATATTATTTAGTTCAATGGCCATGTCACAGGCTTCATCAATTTGGGCCTTTTCGGCAGGTGTTAAAAGGGTACTACAATTTCAAAAATCAATTACTAAACAAATATATTCCAAATAACCATCTCTACTTACCCCTGTGTGGTGGATGCCGTTACCGAAACAATCATAATAGTTGCCTGTGTCAAAATGGCCTGCAATTTTTCATTATTCTTAACCTGATCCAAATCATTGCCCAACTCCTTGACAGCCAACAAATATTCAATTTCACCCAAAATCAATGACTCCAACTCGGGGAATCTTTTTTGATATTTTTCTTTGGCAAATTTGTGAATAATGGCTAAAAAGAAAATTAATATCATATAGTATCACCAACGTGTGTGTCATACTTACATATCTCATTGTCCACCTCCACAGCCAGAGCATTGGCATCGACAATCAAACGATATTCTGGATCCGATTCCACATTACCCAACATTTCACTGGCCGTGCGCTGACGTTGTGAATACATTTCAATTTGTTTTAATATATTCTGTAGACGTTCCGAATCTCGTAATTTACACAAATCTCTTATCGAATGCACCTGAACATCAACTTCCATAAGATTTGGTGTCGGCTTTAAGAATTTCTCAACATCTTCGGTAATCTCTTCAGATTCTTCCAGACCCGCCAAATCATCATCGACATCATTGTCGTCTTCCAAATCGGCCAATAATTCATCGGCTAAAGACATTTTGTTGTCGAATTATATTCTGAGGTGGGGGATTCCTTCCTGGGGTGCTTTGTAAACGTTTATTAAAATGCTTGTTTTCTGAGGAAATTCTTCGTGAAATTTGGAGATTTTCTCTTTCTTTTATTCCTTTCTTGTTTCTTGATGTATTGTTTTTTTAAATTATTTAATTTATTATTGTTTTAATTAAATAAAATCTTATTAAAACAAGACTATTTGACTAGCTGTGTCGCTTTGAATGTGATCAATTCAATAGCGTTATTCACTTTAATGAACTATGTGAACTCCCACCAACATGCAAAGCAAAGGGTTCGTAAACAAACAAATTGAACACAATAAATAATTAAAAAATGGGACTTTTTAAAAATATATGTTATGAAATATGTACTAAAATTAATTCAACATAATAAATAATTAAAAATATAACCCAAGAATACCTTATTGGGGCACTAAAAAATTGTATTAATTTGTTAATTTGTGAAGTAGATTCTCTTGTTGAGTTGTGCCGTTTTGAAAGTGATCAATTCAATGGCGTTATTCACTAAAAGAAACTATGTGAACTTCCTTCAACATGCAAAGCAAAGGGAATGTAAACAAACAAATCGAATACAATAAATAATTAATAAACAGGATGTTTTAATAATATATGTTATAAACCAGTGAGCGGAGCAGTATAGTCGGAAGTTACAGTATAGTCTGAAGTCCTGGAAGTTGTGTAGGGTATCATATGGTCGGCCATAACATTTTGTGGTTCTATATTCTGAGCTTGGGCAATATTTCACGATATTTGCACCCACTAGAGGTATAGTCTGAAGTCCTGGAAGTTGTGTAGGGTATCATATGGTCGGCCATAACATTTTGTGGTTCTATATTCTGAGCTTGGGCAATATTTCACGATATTTGCACCCACTAGAGGTCAACAAATATTATTAATATTCAGTACAGCTTTTCTAATTACTTTTGCAGATTCCCTTCACGGTGGGTTTTGTTGTGATGTTCGGCCTTCAATTGTGGCCGATAGATCGACTTGAAAAACACAAAAAATTAAGTTTTTGGTCCACTTCTTTCTAATATTATTACCCGATAATCAGCGAAAATAATAGGCGTTGTCTTTGATCATAACTGGAATAGGTAGTCCATTTAGCGCAGCTGATGTCTTGATTAACTGTCAAATTGGATAATTTCTACTTGAATTCGACGTGCAGTTTTGCCAACCATTTAAAATATTATATGGAAAAATTTGACAGATAATTGGTATACATCACCTTATTATTACATCATGCTATGGAACAATGAATAGGTAGTCCATTTAGAGCAGCTGATGTCTCGGTTAACTGTCAAATTGTTTAATTCTTACATGAATTCGATGTGCAATGTTGCCAATCATGTGAAATCTTATAAGGAAAAATTTGACAGATGGTCGATACAAAAACAAAGATATTTCTTTTGATACATCACCTTATTATTACATCATGCAATAATATATATATTTCATAGGGTCTCCAGTGATAATTTTGAGTTGTTTGAAGAAGTTCACCTAATGGTGGCATTAGCTGATTGGCAACTTTATATAATTTTAATACTGTTCTAAACAGCTCGAATTTAGTTACACGATTTATATATTTTATTTATTTATATAAATTGTGTCGATTTAGAAAGCACCTTCTATACGCCCTTTTAATTTAACTAAAAATAATGTATTTTGACAGCAACAGCTGATCTTTCCGAAAAACCATCGAATGACAATCAATTTATAATTTATTAAGGAAAAGCATGATTTAAATATAGCATTATACCACATTTTATGTGTTTTATGTAAAATCATTATTTAAATGTCATTGAATTTGCTATTTCTTTTATAAATTTGTAAAATAAATGTAGTTTTACGCATGCGTTGCCATTTCATTCTGTTTTGTTGCGTTACCACTACCGTTACGTTACTGACTAACTCAACACAGCCGTACTGTCATTTCATGCCACACGTTACGTTACGTGTGTGCACTAATCGCATACGTTTAACATTAGCTTTAAATTGCGTTGATATTTTTACCAACGTCTTTTAATATCGTTTCAGACGTAGTCGTGAATAGTTCTTTCGTTTGGAATTAATTCGTCGGTGAATTTAGCGAATAACAGAAAAAAAACTTATTATTGTATACAACAAAAGAAAAAGAAGAATAAAAAAATAAAACTGTAGTCGTTTAATTTATATAGAAAAAAAAACTAAATAAAATATATTATCTTTCCACGATAAATATTTAAGTGAAAATAAAGAACGAACCGGAAACAGAAACGCAATATAATAAAAAAAGAAAAATATTATAGGCTTTAACGGCAAATACGCAATTTGTTTGTTGTTGTTGATTTCTGTGTGTATTCTTCCCTTTTTGTTCCTGTTGAATTTTATTACAAGAGAAACAGAAAAGAACGAACAAGCGAACGAACGAATAAACCACACAAATAACGGTGTGAAAGGAAAAAAATATTTCGTTAACGTTTTTTTATTTATTTCAACGTTTTTTAATCTAAACAAAATGACTTCAACTCCACCAAAAATGACTGAAGATTTGCTGGGCGGTAAGTGTTTGATTTTTATTTTTTCAAATGTATTTGTAAAGAAAAACAACACAGATTGCCTAAAGCTTGTTTTGCCCATATTTGTGGGGAAACCAAACGTCAGCCATGTTATTTCTCGGCTGTTGTGTTTGTTTTTTGAACTTTTATGGTATTCTTCTTCATCTTTTACATTTACATTGTTTCTTCCACCAGCAAAGCAAAAAAACATAAACACATACTCCCAGTACACACACACTTAAGTGTGTGTTGTTTGTTTGGCTTTTTTCATTTTTTGTTGATATATTTCTTTTCTGTTTTCATGTTTTTTTCTTCTTCGTCTTTTCATTCTTTGTTTTTGTTTGGCTTTTCTTTGATGTATACAAAATTTTGTTGCTGGCATTTTTTTTTGCCATCACAAGAAAACAAAATTATCATCAAAGTAGGCTTCGTCCGTCGTGGTCGTCTTTGTTTTTGTTCTTCGTTTCTCATTTCACTCTTTAATGGACGACGACAACGACGTCGTAGCCGACCATGAAAGTTAAGCTCTGTATTTGTTGTTTTTTCTTATGTTTTTATCTCTCCCCCCATTATCCATTTAAATAAGAGCAGGAGCTAGCAAGCTAACCATTGTTATGAATTGCCATTGTTTATGTTTTGGTGTTGTTGTTGTTGTTGGGAGATGTGTGTGTGAAAAAAGTTGTGTGTTGTGTTGTGTGGGGAGAGAGAGAGGGGGAGAAAGAGAGTTGTTTGTGTTTTTCTAAGGTATATACAGTGGCTCTAATTGAGTTATTATGAATTAAAAATGGCAATAAACGTTTTTAAATGCAATTTTAAAGAGGTTTTTTTATAAAATTGAAAAAAAAAACTAAATTGAAATGAAAAAAATAGAAAATGCATTAAAATGTCTTTGGGGCTGAAAAATTTAAAAAAAATAAAGTTGGGGAGAAAAAAAATATTGAAAACAAAACATAATATAAGAAATATAAAAATTCAAAAAAATAAATAAATAAATATGAAATAAAAATAAATAAATAAAAATTAACAAATATAAAAAATAAATAAAATCAAATAACTAAAAAATAATGAAATTAAAGAATTTTTTTTTGAAACCATATTGCAAAAAATTTTAATAAAATCAAAAATCCCTTTTCTTAAATATTTTTTCTTAAAAATAGTTGTGTAAATATATTTTTTATTAAATTCAAATAATTTGTTGTTTCAAAAAAGAGAAAAAAAAAACAGAAAAAAGGCCAGTCTTTTAGCAAAGATATTTGTTAATCCCGAACTTTTGCCCTTAAATTCCTTTAAAATAATTTCCTTTATTAAGGTCACATATTTATGCATCCGACCAATCAACCAACCATCCATCTGCTACTCTTAACTAGCATTTCAAATTAATTTTCCTTTGCCTTATTTTCCGCAGTTATTCATGATAATTTTCACATAAGTATGCTAACCCACGTTCCACTTAAATAATACGCAGCAACACCTTTTTTTGTTGGTGGAAGGGAACAGAAATGGAGCCATCAACGACAACGACCACAAAAAATTCCTACAAAAAATCATCCCCCTTTTGAATTGTTTTCGAACGGAAATATAGGGGTTGTTTTTTTTATTTGTTTTGGTTTTCACATTTCCGAACGTTGACACTGGTCACGTAGGCGGCATGGCTAGCCAGCCAATAAACTAAATATTTATTACGTACATACTCCCCCCTTTTCTAATATTAAATTTTTGTGTGGTTTAATTCGAAATGAAAATAACAAACAAACAAAAATAATAATAATAAAAATAACAAAAAAATAATAATAATAATAATTCCAAAAAATTAATACGTGCCACCACAACCAACTATGCTGAACCACCAACCCCCTCCCCCCTATTTGCACGAAGCTGCCAAGCTAAAACATGATTTTATTTGTATGCGGTTTTTGTTGTGGTTTGTTGAAAATTCCAAAATAAAAAACATCTGCTGGCTTTGCCTTTTTGTTTTGCTTTTTCTTATTCTCTAGTCACAAGTTTTATTGTAGGCTATTTTGTTTTTTTTTTTGTTGTTTATTATTATTTTTCTACGTCTTTGTTGTGCCACAACAAGACATGGCGTTCTAAAAATAGCAACAAGCTTTGTTTATTTTTTCAGTTTGTTTACACCCTCTCTCTCTCCCTCTCTTTACTTCATCCACAATTTTTTTGTATTAATTTTATGGCTTAGTGTGATAGTCACTTGGTTAGTTGGGGAAGTTATATTGCCATTAACGCCAAAAATGAAAAAAATTGGAAATTTTATTAAAAAAACGACCGAAAAATATTTTCTGGTCGTTTTTTTTTATTAAATTTCCAATTTTTTATTTTTTCCATCAATTTACCTACCTTACCTTGTGAGAATATAACTGCAATAAAGACTTTCATTAAATATCATCTCTGAGAAATTCTCTTAATCACTAGGA